GAAGGTTCTAGCAACTAATAACTAATGATTACTAAGCGACTAATTACTAAGCGACTAAGCGACTAAGCGACTAAGTGGCTAAGTGACTAAGTGACTAAGTGACTAAGCGACTAAGTGACTAAGCGATTACTAATCACCAGAATGTTCCAGCAACTTCTTATAATAATAATAATAATACAATAATAGAATAACTAATACTAAATAGTAATAATAAAATAATAATAACTAATAATAATAATAAAGTAATAATAAATCGTTTTATAACAATATATTGATATATGACCAATAATCATACAAAACAAGGATAACATTGGGTAAATAGATCACATGCAACCTTATTAATACCTGTATGTATGACCACTTTGAGATGTTGCATTCGCATTTGTTGATCAATTTTTTTAAAAACAGTTTCTAGTTCACTCGCTGTTTCTATTGCATGTTTGAAAGCACTATACGATGATTCTGCATATGCAGTAATTGAAATACTCATGTGACAATAATTTTTTGTAAATGCATAGATCCATAATTTAGAATCTTCCATTAAAGTTTCAACATATATCACAGACTTTTTTAAATCATATGCTTTTTTTGCAGCGTTAGTAATGGACTTCATTGCTACTTTTATATGTTCTTCATTAAATGCCAATTGTAATGTCTTAATCACTTTTTTAAACTCTAAATAATCATCATCATTCTCAAAAAGCTTATAACAATTTATCTTGAGATTTTGCTCTACCAAATGCCAAGTATATAACATTTTATCTGCTTCTGAAAAAATTTCTTTAAAAACATTACAAAGTGTTTTATCTCTATCTGACATGAACACACTTAGAAGACAACTATAGATATCATATACCCTATTACGAAGTGTTTTTAAAACCATTTATAAGACTCTTTATTTTCATTTTCTATCCATGCCATTGCAATTTGAAATGTTTTCAATGAACCTTTTTCATTTGCAATATTGCTGACGCCAACTGCACTTACAAGTAGATATTTGTATACATTCATTTTATACGTAGAATCAACAATTAAAACTTCAGAACACTTCGCTGTATGCTTTGCCACTTCAATATGAGAAAAAAACAAATGCATCAAGTATCTATGTTGTGTTTTTAAAAGTTCTATTATGTAATCGTGTTGTTGTAAAAGATGTAAAAGTTTCTGAGCTGAATCAGCATTAGGGCCCTCATTAAGTGCATATCTAATTTGTGCACATTGATTTATAATATCCTTTGGCACAATGACACTACTATTACTAAACTGGTTAATAGCAGTAGTAATAATATGTGTAGGTGTGCCAATAATATGTAATTCATTTAGAAGTTTTTTTTAGTTAATGTTCAATTTTATATTGAGGAAAGCTTAATACTTCATTTGACAAAAGTAATGAATAATTATAAACATATTCAACCTTTGTGACAACCCATACTATAGACGATTGTTTTCTAATAGCAGTAGCTCAAATACAAATAGGACAGCAACATCATTTGTTTTTTTATTTCTTTTATGAGATTCAGGTGTAATATTCTAATTATTTCACCATTTTTCTTCTTTTGTACACTATAAAACAATGAAAGGTGATCTGTCATTATGGCCTTCTAAATTACTTTTATATCTTAAAAATGCAAAACTTTGAACCTTGACAGCAGCCTGAGCAGCTTCCTCCAAGGCTTCTAAGATCAAAATTTCATCATTTATGCTTGGCATTGTAGTTATTTTGAAATGCATTAAATGATAACTGCAAAAAAAAATGCATTGTAGATATAAAAACTATTGTATAGAATAATTTTTATTTATTACTATAATGGTTATGTTCTTGGTAATATAACAATAATTATCATCAAAAAATGATATGCTTGCAAAAAAACTATATTTTTGTGAACGGGTTAGAAAGCACAAATGCAAATTAATAAAAAAAATTTAAATATTATGCATTGATGCAACCATGATATAATTATGATGGCATATGGTATATTACGTAATATGGTGGTGCAAAATCACATGACTGGTGGGTGTCCATAGATCTTCTCTTTTTACTGATATTAGTAACCCACAGATTTTTTCTGGCACATAATTTTGGCCAATTAGATCGAAGGATCAGGTGTAATGTAAATTCAAAACAATCGAATTAAGATTTTAAATAATAAGCATCATCTTTAGAGTTAGGATTAAGAATAAGAAAGATTATAGCTTACACTAAAATTTTATGATGAATTTTTTTTATTAGAATGCAGAAAACAGTTTCATAGATAAAATTTTAAGTTAATAGCGATTTTTTAAAAAGATGTGATTTTAACGTTACATCTGATTCTTTAATCTAAGAAAATTCTTAAAATATACCTGGGGTAGAGGTTATTATCCTGTGTCTCAATTTTAGGTTAGAGTTAGTTGGCATGTGATGACTATTTTAAATTTAATTTATTTATTTTTGGTCATAGGTTAAGTGCCTATACCCCAGGCAGTGATGTCATAGGACACAGATGTGAACAGCAGACAGTCTGGGATGAAATGTCCCAGGTACATTTTAAAGATGCTTTCAATCTAATTGGCCATGATCACATGCCAGAAAAAATCTTGTGAATGAATAAAGCTTTTTGTCTATTGACACATGATAAAAAAAAAAATGCGAATTAGATGTTTGTGATCAGATAATTATCCTTTCCAGATTATTAAATAATATTAATTTCTCTATTTATTATCTCAGCTTTTAACCTTGTCATACATTTATTAAATTATTATTCACTATATCATTATATCGTATGAAAGCAAAGTGGTTAGTTCTAAGATGTCTGCATATTTTCATATATTTTTAAGAAAGTTAAATACGATGTTTAGTAACTTATACAAATGTTGTTTCAAAAAAAAAGCTCAGTTTTAATCCTATTGGATAGATTATAATAATTCTTAAATTAATTAGAATTGTACTACTATTACAGTTAAAACTAAAGATGGAAAAATTGAGTTTTTTTGAATCTACTGCAAAGGCTGCACAGCCTGCACAGGCTCAGTTTTTACTCATTAGATTTCACATCTATATATATAAAACATCTACTTCATATGTGTAAAGTTGGGTTCCCATCATTTTAATTAGTGCTCCAAGTTTAGTTTAAACATTGTTTTGCAGTTTTTTACTTTTCTCTGCATATTGGTGAATTAATAATTTTGGTCAAATTTGCAGATCATTTTGCCAGATCTAGAACAAATCAACTTTAAATATAGTCAAATAATCTGCAATTTTGATCAGAACTATGAGGATGGATTCTATTATTAAAATTATTACAAATAAGAGCCTGTCTAATTTCTGAACTATACTAAGAGACTAAGCTACAAGACTTACGTACATAGTGGCATCCAAAAAAAATAGTAGCCAGGTTTTCTATCATGCTTAATATAGTAATTATAAACATTAGAACTGATTTTATTTTTATTTTCACTTTGACTTTTATTTTGACTTCACTTTAATTTTCACTTTAACTCTCCTTTGCTTTGACTTTTGCTTTAACTTACATTTTTGTTTTCATTATGACTTTTGCTTTGACTTTCGTCTTAGCTTTGACCTTTTCTTTAACTTAGTTTTGACTTTAAGAATTTTATAGTTTTGATCAATTATTTAAATAAGCTACTTTTCTTTTTATTTAGTAATGTTAAATTTTTTAGTAATACAAAAGATTTTAATGTCCAAAATGACTATAGCAAACTATATCTTTTTACTTGTGTTATTTAATTATATATTGTTGTCTCGGATTTCAGCGAGTCTGTTACTAAACTAAGCCAATTTTCATGTAACCTACGGCAGCTAAGTCGAAACAGGTGTGTTAGATTTGGCGAGTGGATATTGTCTGTAGGTAAGTACTGGTCTCTTTTCTTAAGCCTTTTCTTCAACCTACTCTCAATCTAATTCTTATCTTCTTTCGTTTGTCTTAACCAGGATTTTACTATGTCGAATCAGGGTTGGAACTCTTCTTTGTCATTACAGTTTACTAAACATGTGACTAGGTAAGTGAACAATTACGGTTTAGTTTATTGTTGGGGTTAACAAGTATTGTTAGAGATAGGTTTACGATAATAACTGGTTGTATAAGGCAACACTTTCACTTGTACTATGGGTCAGGTAGTTAGTTTATATTTCGTAATTGTAACCACTAGCCTTTTGGCCTAGGTGAATTGCCCTTTATTTATAATAAACGTTCTTTTTCTATTTACATTATGAGATTTGTCTAATATATCAGACATATCAGATATATCGGATATATCTAATATATTGTATTGTTATCTGGCTAAGTCACGTGCCACGTGACACGGCTAACCAAATAAGGGTGACCCGGCTAGAAAAATCAGAATTGTCAGAAAGG